GAAGGAAGGAAGGAAGGAGGGAGGGAGGGAGGGAGGGAGGGAAAGAAGGAAGGAAGGAAGGAAGGAAGGAAGGAAGGAAGGAAGGAAGGAAGGAAGGAAGGAAGGAAGGAAGATGGAGACAGGGAGAGAAAGAGAGAGAAAGAGAGAGAGGGAGAGAAAGAGAGGGAGAGAGAGAGAGACAGGGAGAGAGAGACAGAGAGAAAGAGACAGGGAGAGAAAGAGAGACAGGGAGAGAGAGAGAGAGACAGGGAGAGAAAGAGAGAGATTCTCAGAAACCGAATTAAATATATATATTTAATTACATTCAACTATGCCCAAATTTAATTCCATATCATTTATTCCATTCAACTATGTCTGATATGTGTGTGTGTGTGTGGTGTCTGTATAGGCACTTCAAAGCAGACCTGTGATTCCTGGTTCTTTCTGAGCTTGAAATCCTCTGTGTGTGTGTCTCACCTGCAGAACTCCCAGCCCCACAGGTAGACGTGGTCTCCATCTCCATGATCGGGGTGGGCATCATTTCGGTGGTCTTGCTCAGCCTCCTGATTCTGGTGATCATCCTCATGACATGCTACCACAAGCGGAAGACCAAGCGCATCACCAAGAAATAGTAAGCATGGAAGCTCAGGTCGATTTCCTCTCCTCTGGGGATCAACCTGGCCTTACGAGAAAGTTGTGAGAACTGGTCTGCTTGACCCTTCAGTTGTCAGGCTTCCAAGTAATGCACCCCTTGAAATCAGAACTCCTCAAAGAACAAGTTATTTGGATACATCATGTTGGCACAACCGGTGTAAGCCGACTCTGAAAGTTCCCATGGTTTTTCACCTTGATTCAAAGTGAAAGTTTTCCCCTTTCCCCAATCCCCCCATCACATGGTCCAGTCGAGATGCTGGCCAGTTGCTTGGTTATGTCACTCCTCCTCTCCCCAGCTACTTGTTGGAATGACCTTGGTTCCCACGAGAAAACATTTTGCTTTGACTGCAAAACTTCAGCTAGCTAATCCCCCCTCCCGGTCCCCTCTTCTGCTTTGTGGTAACCCACAAAACTCAGAAAGATGGTCTCAGACAGGTCCGCTCCAGGGTTGACACCGGTCATCGTCCTTGAGTTGGAGGTGCTCAGACGGATCTGTCAACTTCTTTTGAAGCTTGGCCTGAGGCTCATGATTAAATAGGGTATCGGTCAGAACCCTGACAGGATGAAGAAGGACCTTGGGTGGAGAAGGAGATCAAGGGTGGGGTGAAATAACACAGGGAAGAGGAACGGATTTATATCTAGATATGGCAGAAAAGATAGTACCACTTGACGAGGTTCTCTGACTGTAGGACAATATGTGTCAACCTTGGGCGCTTGAAGATGGGTGGACTTCAACTCACAGAATTCCCCACCCAGCTATGCCAGGGAATTCTAGAAGTTGAAGTCCACCTACCTTCAAGTGCCCAAGATTGAGAAATGCTCTTCCAGAAGTCTGGAAGTCCAGCCACCCATGAAGTCAACTCACATCGGGAGTTGAAGTCCAACCCATTTTCAAGTTGTGGACTTCAACTCCCCATTGTGGCGTGGCTAGCCAACTCCTTCTTCTGGTGTCAGAACCACAAAACAGAGTCAACGGTTGGGTTGAAAGGTGTTTTCACCAAGCTCACATCTTCAGTACCCCATCTCCTTGTCCTTGGCAGTGAGGAAGAACTGACTTTGACCCGGGAAAATTCAATCCGGCGCCTGCATTCGAGCCACAGCACGGAGACACGGCATCAGGTAAAAACTTGGGGTGTGATGGTGGTGGAGAAGGGTGAAAAACACAAAGGTTGGGTTGTAAGTTGTGGAGGAAAGCTCATTGCCTTCTGGATGGATTAAGGACTGGCTGTAGGACATAGAATCATAGGGTGGGAAGGGACCTTAGAGGTCTTCTAGTCCAACCCCCTACTCTTCTGAACAAATGGTTGTCCAATCTCTTCTTGAAAACCTCCAGTGATGGAGCACCCACAGCTTCTAGAGTCAAGCTATCCCACTGGTTAACAGAATCCCAGAATAACACAGTTGAAAGGGACCTTGGAGGTCTTCTAGTCCAACCCCCTGCTCAAGCAGAAGAATTTATGCCATTCTGGATAAATGGCTGTCCAGTCTCTTCTTGAAAACCTCCAGTGATGGAGCACCCACAAATTCAGGTGGCAAGTTGTTCCATTGGTTAATTGCTCTCAACTGTCTGGAAATTTCATCCAGTTGGACTTCCATGAATATGTGACTAACAGGAAGAGCATTGTGATGGTAGCAATGCCACACTAGTGGCACACCACACCATTGGAATGCCATTTCTGGCCAGGGCGAGGCCATTTGGTGATTACAGCTACAACTCTTTGCTCAACCTAGGAAGGAGTCTTTCTTGATCCCCCCCCCCCAACACACACACACACACACACACACATCCTGCCCTTCTTTTCATGTACTGAGCCACAGAAGTGAAGTTCTGGCTCTATTCTGATTGATGGATTAAGACCTCCAGCGGTCCCTAGTGGACACAAGCGGGAAAAACATGCACCTAAAAAGCATGTATTTTCTTCTGAGAAAACATCGCAAATCCTATACTAGAGAAGAATGTGCCAGCTCCAGGCCATAGGAAAGGAGGGAGAACATACCCAAAATTAGGACAGATGGCTGTACGTTTGCAAAAGGGAAAGCATGAAGTTAAATTCTCACTTGTAGGCAGTTGGTGGGCTACAATTTTTTTAACCACTGGTTCTCTGGCTGGGTAGGCATGGCCGGTTGGTCATGTGACCGGGTGGGTGATGTCACTCATCACACCCAGCCCTGCCGGTTGGGGCTAATCCCACCACTGGCTGGCCCCCACCCCCGCCCATTTGGGGGCATTTTCAGGATATTTGGGGGGCTGTTTCCAGGCCGTTTTTGAGGCAATTTCAGGTTGTTTTTGGCTCGGAAAATGGCCTGAAAACAGCCTGAAAACCAGCCTGAAAACAGTCCAAAAACCAGGCTGAAAAATGGGTGGAGTGGGTCCAGCCAGTGGTGGGATTTGCCGATTCGTCGAACTGTGCCTAATCTTAACTACCGGTCAGTGCAAACTGGCAGCAGCTCACCTCTGCTTGTAGGGCTAACTCTGACATGAGGAGCTCAGATGGAGAAATTATGGTTCCCATGCATCTAATTTTCTCAGTACTTCTGAAGGCCTTAAGGACATTAATTTAATGTAGGGCTGGTTTGAACAGAGGGTTTTGGGGAGACACCCCAAGAAAAAGGAGAAGCCAGAACAAAAAATAGGTTCCGTTTCTTTCGACGATTCGTAGACATGTCCACCCATCTTGTTCTCACAAGATATTTGAAACCTACAAAGATGCCATCCAAACAATATTCCATGTAGAACTAAAGAAGCTTTGTGGGTGAGAAGCTAAATGTTTCCAAAGAAGAAAACAAAATCCAGTTGCCTTTTGAAGAAGTACTTTTGGGATAAACTGACTTAGTTAAGTCTGCATTATTTAGGATTATGGGAAAGGCCTTCATAACAACATAACATCTCTTGTTTTGGAGAAGGCACGCATTTGTGTTTCTGTGGTAGAAGGCAGGAATTGGTTTATTTAGTTCAGGGGTCTCCACCCTTGGCAACTTTAAGACTTGTGGACTTCAACTCCCAGAATTCTGGCATGGCCGGCTGAGGAAGTCTGGGAGTCCACAAGTGTTAAAGTTGCCAAAGTTGAAGAGCTGACAGGAATTCTGGGAGTTGAAGTCCACAAGTGTTAAAGTTGCCAAGGGTGGAGACCCCTGGTTTAGTTTATTAAAAAGAAGGACTAGGGGAGGCATAATAGCATCTTCCAATGTAAGAGGAGCTGCCACAAAGAAAAGGGAGTCAAGCTATTCTCCAAAGCACCTGAAGGCAAGACAAGAAACAATGAGAAGCAGCCTGGAATTCAGGAGAAGTTTCCTGACAGAGAGAACAATTAATTAACCAGTGGAACTGCCTCCAGAAGTTGTGGGTGCTCCATCCCTGGAGACTTTTAAGAAGAGGCTGGATAGCCACTTGTCCCAAATTGTATAGAGTCTCCTAACCAAACAGAATAAGAGGAAGGGACCTTGGAGGTCAACTAGTCCAACCCCCTGCTCAACCAGCAGATCAAATCTGGAGGGGGGGTTGCTTTAAATCAAGCTTCAAAACCACAACTTACTCCTGCCTGAGTAGGGCCAGATGAAGAGGCCTACAAGGAACCCCTGTTCTGACCCAGGCTTCCCAAGACCATGAAGCAGATTCCTCATCCCGATAAAACCCCTTTTATTTAGGTTAAAGTGAATTCCTCTCCAGCAAAGTCCTGGCAAACAGTATTTCAAAGTATTTCACCACTACAGACCTTTATCAGGCTTGGAGAGTTGCCAGGCCAATATCTTCCAAACGCCACGCTGTAACAGCAATTACTTGGCAAGAAGTCAGGAACAGATCTTCACTCTAATGAAGTGAATTAATTGTCTTATGCAAATACCCCTCCCCTTTTGCTCCTCTTTTAATCCCTATAGGAGAGGCCATTCACCGCCCACCTGTGCCTTTACTCCTGAGTCAACCCTTGTTCCTTAACTGTTCCCTTCATCTGGCAGCTCTGCGCATGCACACAGTGGGAACAGGCTCCAGCTGTTCTTCTGCCCCACTGATCTCCAACTCCAAAGGCAGCTGATAACTGTCGGACAGCCCTGGCCCCATCTCTGCCTCTGACACAGAGCCCTCGTCAGAGCCTTCCCCCGACTCCAGGACTGGCCCATGTTCCTCCCAAACCTCCTCACTGTCCAAGTCTGCCGCCAACTCCGCTGATTGTTGGCAGACCACAATCCCCTCCAAATCTTGTTATAAATTCAATAAATAAATTCTGTAATTCTTAAGAACGTCATAACATCTGGATAACATAACATCCATAACCTTTCCGGCTTTGTAGCTCGGCGGGGAGGGACTGAGAAGAAATTGTTCCGTGCAAGTGGTGAGCACACAGGCGCACACCTGCTCACCCATTGCTTGCACAAGTGGGGATGTGTGCCATGCTCGCCCGCCACTTTTGTGCCCCGGTTCCGAACGGCTCAAAGCTCAAAGAAGTAGGCTGCAGCCCGGGACTTGGAGACTCCTAATCCCCAAGTCCTAGGTCCTCCTCAGATTCTGAGAACTGTGGACCCAATCCACCCTGGCTTAGCAGGAGGAAATAATCCCTAAAGAACATTGAGATTAGTTTAACAGATTAACAGAGTTGGAAGGGACCTCGTAGGTCATCTAGTCCAACCCCCCGCCCAAGCAGGAGACCCTATGCCATTTCTGACAGACGGCAGTCCAGTATCCCCTTGAAAGCTTCCAGTGATTGGGAACTATATTATCAAGTGGTAGCATTGACGTGGGTGAAAGAATGGATTGTATTGAGGAATACTAGATTGTTAACATTGGAAGATCATGATTTGTTATCAGGATGGCATGCATTTCTATGGTATAAGGAAAGTAAAATGCATGGGTATTTTAGAAGACATTATATCCAAGATTCATTATTGACAATATGGGATAAAATAAGAAAACAACATTACATGAAAATACCAGTCTGGTTGTCATCTATAGAGGCTTTTGCTTATCTAATTGTTTTTAAAATGGAACATACAGTTAGATATGGAGAAATATTAAATGAAAAGGGTGAACTCAGAACAAAGCAAGAACTAAAAGGACAAGAAATAAAGATGAATTGGTACTCATATGTGCAAATACATTCTAAATATGTTAAAGATAGTAAAATAGAAGGGTTTTACAATGCACTTACTGATTTAGATGAAATTTTAGGTGCTGATGAGAGGTTGATTAAAAAGTTATATGGTCATTTACTTGGAGTGAAATTAGAAGAAGAACAAGTTAAAGAGAAAACTTCCAGGGATGAAGTTCCCACAACTTCTGAATAACAGAATAATAGCAGAGTTGGAAGGGACCGTGTAGGTCATCTAGTCCAACCCCCACCCTCCGCCGCCACCCAAGCAGTTTCTGACAGAGGGCAGTCCAGTCTCTTCTTGATAGCTTCCAGGGATGAAGCTGCCACCACTTCTGAAGGGAGCTTCTCCCCATTCTATCTCTCTGCCCTTCAGATCGAAGAAAACCTTCCCCTGAGGTCGGAGAGCCGGCAAGGGAGTTTCCGCGGGGACAGCCTGTGCCGGGACAGCAGACAGGGCAGCTTTCGCACAGACAGCTTCCGGGAAACCAGCCTCTGTTCAGTGATGGTGAGTAGAGTCAAGCAAGGAGGCAGCCTCAGGGGGTCTCCGGGTCGCTCAGCTTTGCAAGGCTGGCAGGTTCTAGCATTCTCGGATTTTCATTTGTTTTTGTTTTTTTAATGTTGGATTAATTATGCTGACTAATGTGTAGGGATATTAACTCATCAAGTATGGTTGTAGTGTTATTTATCCCTTTATTACCTTTTTCCTCTTTTTACTGGTTGCAATTATTATTATTATTATTGTTATTGTTATTATTATCTTCCTCTTCTTTCCTCCTCCTCCACCTCCTTTTTTCTTTTTACAAGTACACTGGGTGCTTTTGTACCAGAGACAAATTCCTTGTGTGTCTAACCATACTTGGCCAAATATTCTATTCGTATTCCTATTCCAATTCTATTCTGTTCTCTTCTCTATTTTCTTTTCTATTGTATTCTGTATTCTATATTCTATATTCTATTTCTATTCTATTCTATTTCTATTCTCTATTTTATTCTATTTCTATTCTATTCTACTCTCTATCCTATTCTATTCTATATTTTACATTCTATTCTATTTTTTACATTACATTCTATATACTATATTCTGTATTCTATTTTATTCTATTCTATTCTATATTCTATTCTGCTCTCTTCTATTTTATATTCTATTTTATATTCTATTCTCTGCTCTGTTCATTGTTTTCCAAACACACACACTTTTGTTTGCAATTTAGCCTTAAAAAAAAAAAAAAGAACACATCACATATGACTGTATCTATTTCATAAGTGTGAAAACAGTCATAAGTCACTTTTTTCAGTGCCAATGCAACTTCAGGATGGTCACCAAACTCACTGTTATAAGTTGAGGACTGCCTGTAGTGTTTCCAATGGCTGGAGTTGGGACCTCCTCCTCCTACGTTCGCCCCCCGCCATCCCATTTCCCCTTTGGGTGACCCTTTCTTCTTCTTTGCGTCCCGCTCAGGGAGAAGAAGCCGAGGGACGCAGCTACTCAACCTTATCAACCGTCCGGGAAATCGAGACCCAGACCGAGCTTCCCCCGCCACCCCCAACCCCTGTCCCAGAAGATCAGACGGAGGAGAAGGAGAAAGAGAAGGAGAAGGAGAAAGAGAAAGAAGAAGAGGAAGAGCGGAACGACGAAAACAATATCAAGCAAGCAATGACTCACTTTGTCCAAGAGAACGGCACTCTCCGAGCGAAGCCCACCTCCAACGGCATCTACATTAATGGGCGGGGACACTTGGTCTGACACTCGTGCCCCCTCCCTGCCGGATTCCCAGATCCGAGCCACTCTGAGCCCTCGTCCTAACTGCTTACTGGTGCCTCTTTTGGGGGGGGGGGCAAAGATCTCATGAGACTCAGGCCCTCTCCTTCTGAGCCACTGGTCCACCCCAGCCGCAGGCTCTCCACCTTGAGATCTCCTGAAGGCCCCTTCCTTCTTCCCAAGACTTTGGCCAACGTAGAAGCCAACTTCTCCTCCAACGCGGAAGACATCCTGAAGATGCTCGGAAGCCACTTCAGGAACTGGGAGCCTCGGGTTTCCCCTGCCCCCCCCCCCTTCTAACTGTTCTGGGCTGCCTCTTTGTATGAACTCATTTTGGAGTCTTTTGTGGCCAGGGATGACTCAGGTAGTGGGGGGAGATGGACAAAGCGTTGGAGAAGGACAAGCGAGCTGTCCCTTCAGGGCTCTTCAAGTGACTCAGCTGGGCTCAGGGGCAAAATCATAGAAACTCCTGTGTCTTTTCTAGCAATTATTATACTTAACTGTTGTTGCCGTTGTTAAGATGGCCCTTGGTCCATCTTTGGACAAAGGTTCCCACAGGCCACCAGCAGTTAAAAAGACGAGCTCAATTTTAATTATTATTTTTATTTGTGTATTATTAATATGAACCGGGCAAGGAACATTTTCCACTGTAAGTTTCAAGGACTTCCCAGAAAATGCTGAAGAAAGTACCTGGAGACACCCACAGAAGTCTTATTTCTGCTGGGTCAACGATGTTCTGCTCGGCCTGCATCATGGGACCAGTGGTTCTACAACTCCCAAAGCCATTTAGAGCAGAGGTCTCAAAACTTGGCAACTTTAACTTCTGGACTTCAACTCCCAGAATTCTCCAGCCTGCTATGCTCATCATCTATTAAAAGCTTTGCTGGCTGGAGAATTCTGGGAGTTGAAGTCCAGAAGTCTTAAAGTCGCCAAGTTTGGGGATCCCTGATTTAGAAAGCCCAGCACACATCCAAGCGGTGTGGTCCTACCATTGGAGACCAAGAAGGCTGGGCCACCCCATCCCCAGTGATCTTCAAGTCCCTCCCCCATCTCTTTAATTTGTATTTCTTAGCATGCTGCAACTATGAATATTTCTAAAGCTAACCAACAACTATGGAAATACGTATGCGTGATAAGTGTGTGACCCTGAGGACAGGTTTTGTGAGTGAGTCTGCATTTTGAACAGTGGTTTTTCTCAACCTCAGCAACCTGAAGAAGGGTGGACTTCAACACCCAGGATTCCCCAGCCAGTATGAGAGTTGAAGTGCACACATCTTAAAGCGTGCTGGCTGGAGGGTTCTGGAGTCCACATTTGATATTGAATTTGAAGTCTATCTTAGCAAATTTAAGACTTGTGGAGTTTGGCGCTCAAAATCCCCAAGCCAGCATGCTTTAAGATGAGTGGACTCCCAGAATTCCCCAATCAGCATAACTTAACTGGCTTGGGAATTCTGGGAGTTGAAGTCCACCCATTTTAAGCTAAGGTTGAGAAACACAGATTTTGAGTTTTAGGGGAATTGCAAAACTGCTCCAAGTTCTCTTTGGATAGGCTTACGAAGTAAGTTTCTTAAACATCAACCCTTCTCTGATAAGTATATTTTAAGTCTTCTTGTGCATACTACACCTCATTTTTTTCATGCCTGCAAAGAGTTGCAACTGGGCTGAGAAACTACCTCCTTTAGAAAACTAGTTGACCCAAAGTGGAGGTGAAAGTAACCCACAATATATGGGGTGGAGGAGCGACAAATTTGGTGCACCACTACAGCTCTGAAGGCAGGATCAGAACTGCTATCGGGGTTTACAGGGAAATGCCTCAAAATTTCATCCATTTTGGACCTTCTGGGTCCCAGTGGACCTTCTGCCTGGACCCTGGTTTGGTCAGTTGCATAGGACATGAGATGCGGTGAAGACCAGTGGTGAAATGCTACCGGTTCGGACCAGTTCAACCGAACCGGTAGCAAAAAAAGCTCCAACAATCAGCTGAGAGATTTTTCTGTCCTTGATCCTCTCAGATGATTGGTGCAGCAGAGCCTCAGCTGGTGCTTGGAAAGCTGCGTGCGCCCATGTGTGAAGTGCGCGATCACCGAGCTGGTAGGGAAACTGGTAGAATCCCACCATTAGTGAAGACTCACCGAACTACATCTCAGATTGGCTCATTCAGACATGCATTTCCTGGAACTGCCACAACTGAGCTAACAAACACAGACACACAAACTCCTTCGAACCTGCTGCAAACTTAGCTTTGTTTTTAGCCTCTGTGTCCTTGACTTACGACCAAAATTGAGCCCAATGTTTAGGTTGCGAACCGAGAAATTCACTAAGTGAGTTTTGTCACCATTTTAGGACCTTTCTCGCCCTGGTTGTTAAGTGAATCACTGCAGTTGTTAAGCTAGGAACATGGTCGTTAAGTGAATCTGGCTTCCTCACTGGCTTTGCTTGTCAGGTGGTCACAAAAGGGGATCAACGTGACCCCCCCCCCCCCGGGACACTGGCCATCATAACTATGAGTCAGTGGCCAAGCATCCCAATTGTGATCAGGTGGATGCTGCAACAGTTGTAAGTATGAAAAATGGTCCTAAGTCACGTTTTTCAGTGACGTTGTAACAGTCACTAAACGAAATGTTTTAAGTCAAGGACTCCCTATACTATGTTAATGAACCAATAAGCTACAGAAGTGAACTAAATGGGCTGGATTTACACAACATGCCAAACAGAATTAAGGTAACCAAGTTTACATGTTGTGTGCACACAGGTTTTTAACTGACCCCTTTCAAGCATGTTGGACAAATCCAGAAAGCGAGCATGGAGTTTGAAAGAAAACTCTCCAAGGGTCAATTTGCTAAGAAATCTTTTGTTTTTCCTTGAAACGCGATAGAGAATTTTGTGGGGTCCAAAACATCTATTTTAATTTCCCCCTCGCCTTCTTTCCTCTGAATCTCACAACTATCACAACGGGACTTTTTGGAAATGAACTCGACAGATTCCTTTTAAATATTTTAGAAGCCTTTTAAATATGTATTAATACTGTTATTAGCCTTTTTTTAGTTTGAGGAAATGAGCAACTGTCTTTCAACGATCTGTAAATGTCTTTGTATATAGAGAAAAAAAAGCAACGCATGTCTGTCTCACTCTGTGTGTGTGAGTGAGTGTGTGTGTGTGTGTTTGTGTGTGTGTGTAAAATACTCTGTGTATAGAACGGGACTTGGGATATGCCTTGTCAGGTGTAAGATGCACTGTTGGTTTTGTAAATAAATTGCAATTTTGCCATCCCAGAATTCTGCTTTTTGCTAAATATGCAAATCTTGAGTTTCTCTCTACTTCTATTCTAAGCGACTATAAGGGCTAAGTATCAAAAAATAGCCCTGTAATATATTTTGGAGAAAAAGGAAGGTTCAAAAGGCTTTCCAATTTTGATTTATTTGGCGATCTCTCAATTCTTGCACAAGTCCAGAAAATGTAAGTGTGCAAATGTACACATTTCTCTCAGACGTAGGAACTCTGGGAGTTGAAATCCACACGTGCTGAAGTCACCACGGTTGAGAAACATTTGTGTAACAGCAGGGATCTCAAAACCTTGGCAACTTTAAGACTTGTAGACTTCAACTCCCAGAATGACCTTTTCTGGAAAAGAAAAGAAAATTCTGGGAGTTGAAGTCCACAAGTCTTAAAGTTGCCAAGATTGAACACTCCTGGTTCTCACAAGTTGGTAAATCACACACACACACACACACAAGTACCTAGTAGGGCAATTCTGCCCTTGGTTGGAGGTCTCTTGCAAGATCACAAGACTATTGTTCAGAGATGCTCCAAGGCAAGAGGTATAATTTCCTTTGCCACCCACAAAGACCATAGAAAAACATCACCCCATCCCTGCTTCACCCAACAGGTGGAGAAGCATCAGGGTTACCATCATGCTTTAGGTCTTAAGTCACCTAATATTTAATAAAAACCCATTTGTGAAGGTATCGGATAGAATAACAGTTGAAAGGGACCTCAAGAGATCTTCAAACCCAACCCCTTGCTCAAGTAATAAGTGGCTGTCTGATCTTTCTCTGGAAATCCTCCAGTGATGGACACATTCATTACTTCTGGAGGCAAGCCATTCCACTGGCTAATTGTTCCCATTTTCAGAAGTAACAGAATAACAGAAGTTGGAAGGACCTTGGAGGTCTTCTAGTCCAGCCCCTTGCTCAAGTAGGAGATCCTACACCCGTGATGGCGAACCTATGGCACACGTGCTACGCAAGCTCCAGGCAAACTTACCTCACTGTGCATGCACGTACCTCCTGGCTGATTTTTGGCCCATTTAAGGCCTTTTTCGGCCTGCCAGAGGCTTGAGGGAAGCTTCTGCAGCCTTTGGAGGCCGAAAAACAGGCCCGTTTCGTCATTTCCAGTATTTCCGGAAATACAGGAAGTGACAAAAAGGGGCCTATTTTTTTGGCCTGCAAAGGCTGCAGAGGCTTCCCTCAAGCTTCTGGGAGGCTGAAAAGGGGGCCTCAAACAGGCTGAAAATCAGCTGGGAGGCGCAATGAGGGTAAGGGGGCTGGGGAGGGAATCGCGCATGCATGGCGGGCATGGCGGGTGCGGTCATTGCCTTCTGGGTGCTGGCATGCAAGCGTGCACACTTGTGCACGCATGCAATTTTTGGCACAGGAGCCCAAAAAGGTTAGCCATCACTGCCCTATACCATCCCAATCAAATGGCCATCCAGCCTCTTCTTGAAAACGTCCAGTGATGGACACATTCACAACTTCTGGAGGCAAGCCGTTCCACTGGTTAATTGTTCTCACTGTCAGGGAACCTCTCCTTAGTTCTAGACTGGATCTCTCTTGAATAACCTTCCACCTGTTACTTCTTGTCCTGTCCTCAGGTGGGTTGACACTCTGATTTTCTGGCCCTCTCCCCATAACCTCCTCACCAGTCGCAGGTGCACTTCCTGCCATCCACAAGCAAAGCTGAGTTGGACAATCAAAAAGGCAAGATTGCAAAGCCATTCACTTTCATCGTTCACACTCCAAACATTGGCTTGTGACAAGGCAAAGAAGCCGTTTGCTGAAAGCTGTTAGCTTGTGCTTTGTGGTTTCGGAGATGCTGTGTAGGGGAAGTTGAGCTTGGGAGACAAGCTGAACTCACTTCCTGTCAGGTCTGAGTAAGAACAGAACAATTTTTAATGAAAAAAAGTGGGGGGTGGCACAGATTTTCTACCTTGCTCTCGACTACCGCCGTATGCTTTCCGGCAACCTCCCAGTTGGCCAAGAACCACACTTCTGGTGGCCCCGTGGTGGCTGAAGGACCTTGGTTGGACCAAGCATTGACCACGGAGATGAGAATGAATTTAAGGAAGCAGAAGACCGCCATGGGCCAGTAAATGAGTTCCGGAGAGGCAGGAATTCAACAATTGACAGGTTTCTCCTGAACACCGATGGACTCGGCCCAGCCTTGGAAGGAGAAGTTGATACGTAAGGTGTAAGTTTTGAGGAAGAGGAGGAGAGGAGCTCCTTCGCACCCATGTCGCTGGCCATGAAAGCTCGGCAGAAGGTCAAACGGAAAGGACCGGCAAAGGATCGAGTCTTTGGGTGTGATCTGGTGGAACATCTGCAATCATCTGGCCATGACAGTAAGTGGTTTTCTTTTTGGAGACTGGCAACTTTTACAATCCCCTTGAAGGGCCATTAAGCCCAAACAGGAAATGGGGTGAGGTGAGAACTTCTGCTAAACAACAAACTTTTTTTCCGAATGTGCTTCACTGGTTTTCTGAGAAGGCTCCAACCTTAGGTCATAGTCATAGAATCACAGAGCAGGAAGAAAACTTGGAGGCCTCCAACTCTGGCTACTTTAAGACTTGTGGACTT